GTCCCCATGGTTGCCGAGGACATGCCGGCGCAACACTGGATAGTCATGGGTAGTATGGCTCCAGAGAACGCCGTCCCTATCCTCCTTGAGGTCATTGCAAAGCAGATCTCGCTCAAGGAGATGAAGAAGAAGTTCCAGCTTGTCAAGCAAATCACCTATGTCTGCAAGGCATTCGCAGTGGGGGTGGGTGCTACTGAATTCAAGGAGGCCGAGAAGGAGTTTCCTCTCCACACGAAGAAAGAGATTTTGGAAAAGTTCGTTGGTGGCATCAGAAGGGGTCAGACGAGTATCCCCGCACTGGATGGCCATATTAAACGGGCTTTGGAATGAAAGAACAAGGAGAGGAGACTGCAAGCAAAGCAGGCTCTTCACGCGTTCCGTTCGAAACCTCTCGTGGAACTGTTCGTCGACTGGACGGAGGTGACACACGAGAACGACTAGGTGGAAGTGAAGATTATGAATGGCGACATGCGCTTTTTGTCAAAGCTGCAGATAGAGAGGTCTGTTTTTTGTTTGTCTGTCTGTTTGTATGCAGGTACCCAGATAGCATTAGGACCAAGCAGAAGTCTACAGTTGTACACAGTCCATGCCCTTTGCTGTGAGTCAATTTGTATGTCTGTGGGTAGGAGACCTGAGACCAGACTGCCTCGTCAAACAACACATAAGGCTTGGTCGTGAGGAGGTCAACATTCAATCTTGGTATGATGCCTTGACGCTGGTTTGGCACTGGCTATGCGCTAGTAATGTGGATGACAACGTAGGACTATAGCAGCATACTGACTCTGTCTATTCTGCGCTCCAGGCATTGCTGGCGCAGTGTTGCCACCTGTCTTTCCTGCTGATGTGGCGCAAGCCACTGATCTACATTATTAATGTAGCGCAAGCCATCTGTTGACATTGTTGTTGTGGAGCTACCACCTGTCTCTACTGTCGGCGTGGCATTGGCCACATTGTCTACATGCTAACGTGGCACAGGTCAGTCGCCTACATTGCTGATCTGGCGTCGGCCATCTGTCTACATTGCAGTTGTGGCTCATGCCACCTGTGTACACCACTGCGTCGGCCACTAGCTCATTTTCGGCAGACTTCGCATCCCCAGACAACTTCGAGGTTGGGCTGCCTTGTGCTACCTTCTCTTTCCGCTTCAGCGTTTCGTGCGCAAGTGTGCCGCTGACGTCTGTCAGAAACCTCGTGGCGATGCCCTTAGCGCACTTGGTGTTTATCTCCACCAAAAGGCAATTCCGATTGGCCTTGACGCACGCTATGACGCCTGTGACGGAACCGGAAAAACCATCCAGAACGTAGGCCGCTACGGGAGAGAATTTGTTTACAAGCCAGAAGTACAAAGTACACGGCTTCTGGTACGCGCAGAGGACACTGCCACCAGGGTGTTGGTACTTCTGCATCACAACATAAAGAGCTGGAAATTGTGACGCATATCAGTGGGATCAAAATTATGGTGCGCCATCTCGCGCTGCCCAGTCTCGCTGTAATAGCCCAACACGCAGAATTCGGTCGCACTCACAAGTCGGGGCCAACCGGGATTCGTCACATTTGGCTTGCACCACGTCAAAAGCTCCTGCCCTGCATTGCAAACTGCCCGGAACGCGGAGCGAATGGAAGGAAGCATGTCCACCGAACAGAATCTCGCAACTGTCCATAAAGGGGCACTGGAAACGTCCTTCAAATTTTGAGGAACCTCCAGAACGTCCGACTCCGGAAACGGCTCATTATCATATGCGTGCCCCTCGTACGCAAAGCCGTAAGGGAAGTCGAAGACACACAGGCAAACAAACATACAAACAGACAAAATTGACAGACACAAACAAACATATAGACACACATAAACAAAACAGACACAGACAGACAGACGGACAGAAAGAGGCAGACAAAAAATAACGGACAAAAAAAGACACAAACTAACTCAAACGTTGTGATACACTGACACATGCACTGTGACATAGTGGGACACACACAAACACTGTGACACAGACACAGGCACTGTGAGAGAGTGGAACACACACAGACACTGTGACACAGACACGTACACTGAAACACATAGTACAAAGTGACACACGTAATGAGACACACTCCCAGTCACACAACAAACACACAAGCACACTTTGACATACACTTGGACACAATGTCACATACATGGAGAGACAAGATATAGTTACACGACCACACAGTGAAAAACACACCCAGACACAGTGAAACACAATTACACACCGAGACGCACAGTGCATTGTGATTCATACGGAGAAGAAACACATACAGAGTGACTCTGAAACACAAGTGACACACATACACAGTGACTTTGAAACACAAGTGACACCGATACACAATGACGCAGACACAGTGGTACAGATACACAGTGATACACATTTACACAGTGAGAGAGACAGAGAAAGGGAGATAGAGAGAAAAAGGAGAGAGATACTTACCTTGTGTATGTGAGAGGTCGGCTATGGCATTAACATCATGTACATTTATTTCCAAAGAGTAAGTGAGCGTGCTGCGTGGATGTGGCGGTAGTAGGATAGGCGAGTAGTGTAGGCTGGGCGGCAGACAAAGAGGGGCGGCATTGGGTACTGCATTGGTGTGGTCTGAGGGCTTGAACATAGGCTCACGGGTTCATTGTATTGCTCCTATTTTGGATGGAACCTTGATACATTTCAGCTCTCTACTAGTTACGTGACTATCTGGACTTCTGCATGATTAATTGCAACTTAGTCTTCTGTGTACCGCGCTTACTCATATTACTTGCATTATTATCATTATTATTATTAATTATTATTATTATTATTATTATTATTATTATTATTATTATTATTATTATTATTATTATATCTATTATGATTAGTAGTTATTATTATTATTATTATTATTATTATTATTATTATTATTATTATTATTATTATTATTATTATTATTATTATTGTTATTATTATTATTATTATTATTGTTATTTATTGTTGTTACTATTTCATTGCCTACACCGTTTGTTCGGATCTGATTACCGGTACAATGATCAGACATGTGCATGTGAACCCGTACGTAGCTAGAGCCATGGTCGACATCGTGCACGCTGGCCTAGGGTAAGTCACAGGGTACGCAGGGTCGTCTAGGCAGGAGGACTTGAGGACGAAGTAAAAAGGGCAGAAACAAGAAACAGAAGGAAAAAGTGAGAAAAGAGAATGAAGCAGGAGATAAGCAGAAGGGATGAGAAAAAAATGAGAAAGAAGAATAAAAACGCGAAAAACAGAAAAGACAAACTAGGTCTTTTCTCATTTTTATCTTGTAAACCCTTCTTTGTACTACCCTCGACTACTTTATATCTGATGAATGTATGAATATGAAATACTGGTACAAAACGAGTGATAGGATAAGGCTCATGTGTGAGGAACATCATATTGCTCATCTGTACACACATACATATATTAGACAGCTAGGTTGACAGACTATAAGTGGGGTACTCATGTGCGGGTCATCCCATGGTCTGTCTAAGTCTAAACCAGTTAGACTAAAACAAGTGGTAGGATACTCATGTCTGAGTTATCCTACTGCTTGAGTAAGTATGAGATTAAGGCTTCTGCGGAGTCTTCCTACTTCATACTTACATTTGATTGGACAATATTATAGTCCACCGATAGAACTGAAGTTCACATCGTTGAACTTCGTGTAAGGCGATAGTGAGGGAGGTGTTGAGACCTTGTGACCTGTGTGTGATTGCATGTCATCTTTCTCAAGACGACTCGTTGTGAGTCTGTACAAGATTGCATGCTGTTGCCTTATGGTAATAGGTTGGTTCGCCAACTCAACCCTCACTCACCCTCTACACCCACACGTTGCATCTACCCTTGCACTAAATGGCATTTCTGATTTTCGATTCAGTGTCTGAAAGGTCAGTGTTTGGTCAAAGAGATTCTTGAAAAACTCAGTCGAAAAGGGAATGTCTAACTGAGAGGTTTGAAAGCATAAGTGTAATGTGTGTGAGAGTGAATGAATGGTTAACTCTGCTAGGATTGTGTAATGTGATTGATACTTGTTTGCAAGTTAGTAAGATGACCAACCACGTGCTATTCACTCAGCTCGCATTGCTTATGCTTACTTGAGCCTCGACTCAGACATTTTGTCGACTCGTAACCTTTGTACATTTGGTTTGGGTTTCAGACTTTTACCTCTTTGATGTTGAATAGATTAGGAAAATTGGCAAAGGCGAAAGGGTCTTATTCATATCATTTTTCTTGAAAAGGTCAACCTATTTTCAATTGTTCTTTTTTTATTGATTCAATAGAATGAAACTTTGTATGAGCCTATCTTTAATTTCTGATGCATATTTGACACGCCATGAGCCTATTTTTGTTTTGTGATGTTTGCTTGAAAGGCCAAGAGCCTATTTGATTGTTTCTCTTTCAAAAGTCAGAGCTCCGTTCATTCTGATGTTTGCCTTTGTTTGTGTAAAAATGTGAAAGACATCTCCTTGTCTTTTCAGTCTCAACTTTTGAAAAATATATATTATATTTGTATCAATTTGAAATGATCTTATATAGCATATAAAATTTATTGGTCAAGTACGAATAGGCTAGAATACGTGTATGCGCGAAAGATCGTCAGTCAAGTCGACCTGAATAGTAAGTCGGTCCGGGCGATGCCCGACACGTAAACGGGTCAGTCTTAGGTGTTCAACCGTGCGTATACCTATGCTACGACGATCGAGAAAACGTCCTCGACCGACCTTCCTCTACAAAGGCATGTAAAAGCCTTCGCATATGGGCCGGTAGCTCAGCAGGGATACACCTACCAGAGGGTGGTGACAGCCCCTCGGGGGTACCTCGTGACGTCCCGACCTATCGCAGGGCGTCGTGAGAGGTATAGCACGCGCGCACGGTCGGACCTTCGGAGTGGTGACTGATTCTTTTCAGACAAAAACATCCTGCATGACACGACCGTCGACCGTGAGGTTCTACACTCCCATCAGGGCGCGGGACCGTCGCGCGCGACAACGGACCTCCAAATCGGGGTCCTATCATATGCACATCAAATGGTTCGTCGATTGGTGATGTGGGGATGAGTCCCAACCGACCAAACCTCTGTGCGGTCCTCTTATATTCCTCGAAGACAAAAAAAGGCGTAGAGTTCTTGGGGTGGTGGCCGGTTGCCAGCGGATGGCACCCTGCTAAAAAGGAAAACATGCAACATTATAAGTTGCACACTGTTTACAGTTCGAAGGGCGACATTGTTGCCAATTCCAAAGGGACGGTTTTGTCTTTCGACCTGTTCCAGAGGTTTGGGGCGGGGGCTGTGAAGACCCCTTTCTACCCAGATCTCGCAGTAGGAGGTGTTGCTTCGGCACGGGAGTTTTTTGACTTGGTGGAGCAGAGGAACATCGACCTAGAGGAGCCCTGCCACGTTCAAGGCGACCAAGAGTTGTCGCAACCTCTTCAGATGTGCACCGACTTCGAATCCAGCGGTGCTCCCACGAAAGGGGGAGATTTGGGTTCTGGTCCTTCTTCCCTACTCCATCGGAGCGAGGCCCGTGGTCGCTTCGATGACAGCGACGACAAAGAATAGGAGCAGACGCGGCCTTCGCCGCTTAGGCGGGGAGACCGGTCTGTCCCGAGTATTCCTGGGGTGGAAGGACACACCCCGGTTCACGACCGGCCGTCGACGTCGGCCGGGGGGGATGACGAGGGTGTACAACAGTCTACGCATAAGAGAAGGGGAGGTCCTCAGGAAGAGGGTGCGGGTTTGGCAAAGAAACATAAGGCGAGGACCCCCCAAACGACGGGGGGGAAAAGGAAGGGAGTTGAGGGGCAAGAGGGTACATCGGGTCGGAAACGCCCAACGTCGGTACAAAAACAGCCTCAGTCGGGTGCTCTCGAGGCGAAGGGTCCCATCGACATCGACGTTGCGTACTTCCTCAAATGGAAAGACGACGTGCGGACAAAGCGGGAGTTCTTCATTAGCCCGTCGCGGGTCGTCGAGATCGGTGAGTGGGAAGCGTCGTACAACCAACGGTCACTGGATCTCGTGCACACACAACTCATCATTGACGCGATGAGGATGGTCTTCTTGCAAGCCGAGAAGACGTACGAGTTACCTACTCTTAAGTTGGCGCCACTCGGGCTGGAGAAACCGAAGCCGGGCGTACAGGCGGATCGTCTGAAGCCGGAGGACTGGAAGGACGAACTCGCAGGCCAATACTATTATTACGATGTTTCAGGCCAGCACAACGTGGCTGCATCCAAGGCGCTGCTCGGCACCGACGTCGCATTGAGGTACAACTTCGACAGGTGGCCTGCACGTATGATTTACTTCTCGGACGAGGAGTTCGAAGGGTATTTTGTGGTCAGCTCGGAGGACAACAAGAAGGACTTGAAGGCGCCTCCTAGACAGTTGAAACTATCAATGATGGGCATTCGGTGGATGTGGAAGGAGAAGGGTTTTCCAAAGGCTGTTATGGGGAACCCCAACGGAAAACAAGCTAAGGTGCAGAAATGGCATGAGTTCTGTGCACAGGCGCTTCACAAGACGCCTTACAACCACTTGTGGATTCTCGCTGATGAGAAGGGCGACGACAATATTAAGAAGGAGAACGCTGCCCTTCGCTTTTATTTTCCACTAGTGATAGCTGGAAAAAGCGTGTGGGAACTCTTCGAGAAATGGGAGACGGGGAGACTTTTGGCACCTGAGGGGGCGAAGTGGATCACAAAGAAAAGGAAAGTTAAGGACGTCAGGCCCGACGTTAGCCACATCGAAAACGAGAAGTTGGGACGAAAGGAGATTGTCTACAACGTCCCTGTCGAGGCGCCCCAAAAGAAATGAAAGAAGGAAAAAGAGCCTGGCGATTGGTTTGTCCAAGTCACCGAGCCGGATCCGCACTGTTGGAAGTTGTGTAACACTCCGTATGACGTACGGGGGTTTATCGTACGATTGTACGTACGGCCGTATAAGCGGTCGTACGGCCGTATGTACAGCCCCGTACGAAGAAAAAAAAAAAAATCGTTTTGTTTTTTTATCTCAAATTTGGTAATGAATTTCAATATGACCCTGAGGCAAAAGTGTTTTCAGTTTAGTTTTCTGCATAACATATTTTTTTTTCAGATTTTTTTTATTTTGTTTTTTTGCTTTTTTTTTCGTACGTACGACCCGTACTACCACATGAGCCCATACGTACGGCCGTACATACGTACGTACGACCCGTATTTGTACGGGGGTCTAAGTAGGCTGGAAGAGCATGGAAGCCCTTACCGACAACGAAAACTGTTGATTGCTCAAGACGGTCGTCACTTGCGAGGTTGTGTGGGTGCAAACAGGCTCCGCTTCATTGGCGAAGCAAGGGAAGCTGGGAGTGCAAGAAGCAGTGCACCTGCTGAAGTGCGACCGCATCTTGGTGCGATTGTGGTACTACTATCAGTTTATGCACGAGAACCGGGCGGATACGGACTGAACACATGCATATCCCTTCCTGAAGAAGCGGGAGGCGATTTTGGTGGAGTTCGAGAAGCAGGGAATGGATGCCGCGTTGTGGGACGAGAGCAGGAAGCTCGTCGGTGACACCTCGCTGTTCAAGGACTGCCCCCCGTACATGGGGTGCGAGGACGACAAAACGGTCAAGGCGAAGGAAAAACTCGCTCTCAACAAGAAGTTGTCCGCCGACTGGTACAAGGAGTTTTGCAATGACGACAACTGGTTGCCTGAGAAGGGTCCGATTTATTGGTTCAATCAAAACCCCGATGGAAGCTACGCAGGTCCTTCGTGGCCATTTGACCCACCTCTTGTGCAACCCTTTCCTCGAAATGACTATTATAATGACAAAAATTATGTTATTCGATTTCGCGAGTTGTTGGAGAGCAGGCGATCAACGTGGTGCACTTACAACGAACATGAGGTAAGTAGGAGAGAAAAAACGGTGTTACTGGGAGAAGGTTATCAAACATGGGGACGAGATCATCGCCAAGACCACAGCTGCTCGAAAGAGATCAACAACCTTCTCCTTGCAGTGCCAACATCAGCATTGTCACTTGGGGATCCTCGGGGCCTGAGCCGGGGTAG